GTCAGCATGCTAACATTTGCTAATAAGCACTTTGTTTGAACTAGGCAGCAGAAATATCAAATATCTACTTTAATATTGAATGTTGACTGTCTCACACAGCCACAGATTAGTCAACCGACCTGAAGATCCGGCACCACGCCTGCAGTGGAAACAGTGTGTGTGCTGCATTATAATACACAGGTGTGTCCCTCTACCTGCCTTACAGGTTGAGAGGTTACCAGTTGCAATATAGAAAACTGGCATTCAAACCAGAATGTAACTAATTACTCAGTACTTTTACTGAAGTAAAGGAACTGAATATATAACATTGGTACAGACAACAGAGACACTTGACCTCTGATGGTCAATAAAACGTGACTACATGTGAAATTATCCTCAAAATCAATCATTTATTCATTATCTGTATACAAGCTATGGCCGGTGTGTGTGTGTGTGTGTGTGTGTGTGTGTGTGTGTGTGTGTGTGAGAGAGAGACAGAGTGAGGCCACCGGAGAGCAGGATGCCCTGCCCCGACGGAGAACAGGCTGTGCACTGTGGATCCAGATGTTTACCTTTGACTCCATGAGTGTGTGTGTGCTCTTGTTGAATGAAATAAGTGTGTGTATTCAGATCCTTTACTTGAGTCAACGTTCTAATACCACATTCAAAATTCTAAGTTTGGGTAAAAGGTTTTAACTACTACTGGGTGGTTTCATCTCAAGGAACGCTTTATATAAGATCAACATATTTTTGTATATTTGTCACACATGGGACATTTTTCCAATAACTATGGACATTTCTAACCTTTAAGTAATTTTCTGATATTCTTCTGACTTTATTCACACTTTTATTATGCTTCCTACTGCTGGAATGTTTAAAGTTGTGCTCATTTGAACTCCTTTATATGATGTTTTCTAGTTCTGTAGCAATGCATTATTTCTATAAGATCATCATATGTCTGTTGTTTCACTATCCTGTGAGAACAATGTTAATCTAAAAAGTCAAATTGTCCCAGGTTTCTCAGACAAACAGCAACAAACTGTTATCAACTTTGTGACAATGCATTTTCCAGCTGATGCAGATTAAGTGGATGAACTACTGTAGTCTGAAAAATAAGTGAAGCTGTGGAGTAAAAATGTGTACTGGTGTAAAGTCCAAGTACCTCAAAATGGTACATAAGTGCAGTACCTGAGCTGTCAAAGCCATAATATATATTAATAACAGTGCTGCACTACAGCTGGAGTTGTATTCAAAGAAACAGGTGAGTCTTTATGCAGGTATGCTGAGTGTTATATAACCCTGGAGTACACCATGTGCTGAGCAACATACCAATTTTCCTTTTTTGAAAGGCACAGGTATGTGCATGAAGTAGCATTTATGTTTAAAGCCACTCCGTTTATTCCTGAATGGGAATCCAAGTTTCCTGAAACAAATGCCAAGATGTAAGAACAAGCATTTATCTCCCAGCTGTGCATTAATGCATCACAAATAATTAAACAATTATGGTTTTCAGGATTGAATCATCAATACATCAAAGTATTTTGAATGCATAACAGCAAGACGAAACCATGAACTGAAACAAAACTGACTAACAGGGTCTCTAAAGTGTAATAATTATGAACATGCAGAATTTTAATTCCAAAAGAAATGCTTTATCTACACTGCAACTAACGTCTATTTCCTAGACTAATCATTTTGTCTATAAAAACATCAGAATTTTTTTTAAATATCCTGTTTTGTCAATCACTTCAATTTCTTTTTTGATCACCTGATCAATGATTAGCGACATCATTTCAATCATAAATCATTCTCTGATTACAACATATACAAAATGATTGAAGCAGAACATGAAGAATCTTTACTCTTATCTGGATTTGTTTCTGAAAGAATAACTGTAGATATTTTTGATTAAGTGGTTGATTTCACCTCCAGTTGCCCTCTCTAAAAATGGATCTTCGTCACGTCACAGAAACACGTAAGACCATTATTAAGTCAGGACGATGTCAAAAAGGATTGTTGAGTTTGTAGAAGAATGGAGATGAAAGACGAAGATCCACCCCCGCACTGAGCTTGTGTTATTATCTGAAACCTGAAGAACTTGATTATTAAAACCCTATTTCACCAGAGTAAAGACACAGAGAAGGTGGATTCTATTTGTGGTGCTAACTTGTGTAATGTTAAACTTAAAGAATGTGTTGTGTGCAGTTATGGATTTATATACCCATGTGACTAAATCTATTATGTGATTAAATCATTTGCTGTTGATGTGACATAAGGAATGTGAGAGATCCAACACTCCCATAATCCAACTTGTATTGAACACTCCCAAGCTGGTAAATCAGCATGTGTAAATATTAGAGTCTAAAAATAAACCACAAGTTATTCTGACTTTAGCAGAAGTACTAATTTTACAGAATGGATTGACTTGTAAAAGCAAGAAATAGAACTGTTAGAACAGTCTGGTCAATTTAGAAAATGACATCCCTTTAGTGTAATGCAGCCTTTAAAACCAGAAAAATAAAACACTTTATATCCAAAATGTAAGTAAAATATTGGTGTATTGCCAAGCCCCTAATTTTTAGAGCCTGGTATTTGGCAAAGCAAGTTCTAAGTGTCTAAACAATTTAAATATAAAACCATTAAGATTAAGACATTCATACACAGTCATTAAAGAGCCAAGAAAAAAACAATTAAAACAAGCAGAAATAGAACGAGACAGGTATAAAACACAACAGTAAAAAGTTGAGTATAGAGTAAGAAATTGATAGTTATTTAATTTTGAGTATTACTATTAGTACTTTTAATTTAATAAAGGATCTTCAAACTACTCATAACTAACTGGGAACTTAAATAAAGTAAAGTAGAGATGGGAAAAGCAGAAGTTTGATTCCCACACATGCTGCCCACAGAAGGGGAGGCTTTACGTCGTTGTGAGGAATCTCAGGTCAACAAACCCCCGGAGAGAGAAAGTGAGTGACCTAACAAAGAGCCTCACATTCAAACACTGCCGTCTTCATGCAGCCCCCCCTCTCCCACACACACATACAGTTCATGCCTCTCCTATATATATATATAGAATATTCTCCTCACTCAACAAGAGCATCTTAGTCCTGCTGCTCCACACAACCTGGCCTTTGTGTGCTGCAGGTATAAAGATTTATATTCATATGTTCGGTCTGAGGATCAGAACACACGGAATGTGCCTCTGTTCATTGGTGCATACATAAACACTGTAAAAAGTAAGAATTATATTGAAATAAAATGCTAAAATCCAAGCAGCACAGCTCAATATCAATATCCTCCTAATGTAGGTCAAGATGCAAAAAACCCTGCATTTCCCATAATGCAACTTTCGTTTCAAAACAGACGACTTTCAGAAAGTGGAAATACCAGTCTATCAATACACCACACGTAAATGATACTGAGGTAAAGGAACAGAAATATCAAAGTATGCATTATGCAGAATGGCACATTTAACAGTTTTTGTATTCTATGTAGAATATTATACGATTTTTTTTTTTAATCACAAACCATTACTTGTCAGAGCTTTTCATGTTGGGGATTGTGGGGAGGCTGTGGCTCAGTGAGTAGTGTGCTGGACTTCGAATCAGGGGATAGCAAGTCCCACTGCAGTCAGCATGTCGTTGTGACACTTCACCCCAAATTGCTCCTGTGGGGATTGTCCACAGAACTGAATGTATGTAAGTCACTTTGGATAAAAGCGTCTAACATGTGATGTTATTTTGGGGTCAATTTTTGTTACTTTTGTATTAGCTGTATTGTACTGCATTGTAGCATACATGATATTAATGTAATGCAGTTAAAAATACAATATGCCTATCTGAAATGTAGTGGAGTTGAAGTGTAAAGTTATAAAGTGCAGTACTTGAGGTTCAGATGCTGCTCTTTAAAATGGACTTGTGTTTTGTGTTTGTTTTTTTGCCATTATCCTCTCCATCACGTCATTCACATTTAGACAGCAAACAAACATAATAATCCTGTTACAGAAAATAGCAGCATGATTAACTCTGATGCTATTCGACAGGAATTGTAGCCTCGGGACATTTAAAAGGACGTACATTTATAGCTTTTACCTCGCAAGTCTTTACCTGTCTGCAGGTTTTCCTAGAAGAGTGCGAGTGTGTGCGTGTGCGTGTGTGTAGTTTAGACCTCTGTGGTGTCTGATTCCTGATATGCAAGCCAGCTGGATCTTATCCCCTATAAACCCAGATGCACCCTTCCTTGTCTCTGCACACACACGCACAAACACACACCCACACTCACACAGTCTATGCCTCACTCTCTCCGTCTCACTCACTCTCCTCTCGGCCCACAGAGACATATGGTTTCAGTAACTTTGCATAATGGAAACATCTTATAAACGTTTATTGAATTCTGATTGGATATATCCGGTGTATCTACACCCATTATTCAAATCTTCGTTTTATTTAACATGTGCAAAAATGCAAACAATTCTCAAATCAGGCTTCTAAAATGTGCGTTTGTGCTACTCTTCTCTGTTCTATATGATCTAAAAGTGTATTTTAAATAGATATGTTTGAGTTTTGGACATGTTCGATAAACAAAACAAACAATTTGAAGACATTACCTTGGACTTAAGGATATTTTATTGGTAAAGTAATATTAATATATAAGTTGTAATAGTATAGTAATAGTAATAGTAATATTAAGTTGCAGTATTGTAGTGATAATCCTGGAATAAATTGAACTCAGGTGGGTTTTCCCATTATTTATATACTCTATAGATTTACATTTCTCTAATGTCGATATGTAAATGCTTAGTTTATGTTATTTGCTGTTTGTTGTTTTCTGTTACTAAAATTGCATTAAAAATAAAAAAAATTAAGGAAAGAAGAAGTTTGCATCCTGGACCTCAAGGCTCAAATGTTGAAGGGAGAGCCGGGCACCCCAGACACACACACACACAGAACCCATTTCCCTCCCACCTCGTCTCAATCAAAGTGAGATAAAGGTGATTATTTCCCTTATCGATCACTCACATTGGTGTAGAGCCCACAGTCGATCTCCCCGGCCTCCGACAGCTCGCTCAGGTTCCGGTCCCAGTGCAGGAACGGCTCACTACTATCCAGGATCTCCATGTTTCCTCCACACACACTCCCTCTGCACTTCTGTGGGGTTTGTGGTGTTTTTGCGGGTGAAAAAGCAGTGAAAACAGCAGCGGGGGTTAGTTAGCAAATGTAGTCAAGTCGAAAGCTCCAACTCCGCCGAAGAAAAAAGGTCCCGACAACTTGTGAAATAAATAAATAAATAAATTAGAAACACGTCTCGTTAGGTTAAACTTTGGGGTAAATGTGTGAGAAAGTTGCAGCAGTCAGACAGAAGTGTTGTTGTTTATCATCCCCTCTCTTTCTGCAGCCCCTCTACTTTTCTCTTTCCTCCTCTTCACAGCCCAGACACACAGGAATGTGGATGGGCGGAGTCACACAGAAAGGGAGAAATAAAATGAGATTAGCACAAAACATTAAAGGAATCAGTAAAAGAGAGAGCGTCTTTTAATTTAAATGCAATGTAATACATCGTTGATTAAACGAAGAGAACAAATATATATATAGTCCATGGTAAAATGTGAAGTGACTCAATTGTTCCAGCTGTTTATGGCACTTGCATCAATAGCTAAAATAACGAACTAGGCCTATAATTTCCGGTAATGGATTTCAAAATAAAACAATCACTATTCATATTTAGTCCATTGAAGTTCGATGCAATATAAAGTTTTGATAACAGTAGAAAATAATTTTAATTTTAATTATAAAGAAAGAAACTATGTGTATATATTGGTTATATAATTTTACTTTCACCCTAAATCCTGTAATTTACAAGTTTTGTGCTTTTATTTTTAAATGCACTCAACCTATTCCGGTCTCACGCAGCTTTTCAAAACTGGTTTCTAAACAACTCATGGCCCCGCCCATATCAAGCTTCCTGACCAATCAGATCATTTTTACAGCCTTCCTGGCCTTTAACTGACAAGTAGCGCAGCCAATCAGTAAGGACTTTGAGAAAACCTGCAACCAATCGTTTTTAGCCAAGAATACCTTTAGCTTCAAACCTCCCCCACTGTCAGGGAGCCAGCTAGCGTCCACTAGAGAAACATGGTTAAATGTTCTTAAACATTATATATTTGAATATGTACTTGCTTGTATACGTTATTTCAATACAAATAGCTTTCATTCAATTGCTTTAACTTTAATTATTCTATTATTTATTTATTTGATAAAGTTTGTTTAGAATGGTTATGTTTTACTTGTCCACCTCTATAAAGCGCTTTATAAGTGAATGTATGAGCAGTTATTAACACAGTGAGGTTAGATCATAAATTAAAATTAACAAAAATGTGAAGACAAAAATATTTTAGAAAAAAAAAGGTGTATTATAGCAACCATTACAGGGAAATTAACCAACAATATTCACATGATAGAATCAGTCTCGGCCTAGGGAGGAAATGACAAACCGATTACAGAGATAACTGACAAAAAAAGTGACAAAGCAGAAAACAGGAGTAGACAGAACAGCAAACAATGTTCTGTTTTACTGCCCTATTCAGGGTTATCAACACAAAAACAAAATGCAGGAGGACGGGAAGAAAATAGCTAATTTAATTGAACGCGTTTCCTGCATGCTGGTCTCTTTCTTTTCTTTTTTTACTCTAAAGAGTTTCAATCATCCGCATATTTCTGTCCAGTTAAACCACCTTCTTTCACAAGAGATTTGCATAAAGAGAAGTGCAAGAAATACATATTACACAGAGACAAGTCAGACCAGTACAACAAATGCTTTACTTTGTTTAAATAATAACCAATAACATTGAGGCTGAAGAGATGTTGTATTAACTAATGCAAAAGAATCATACCTTGGGTCTATGATCCTAAACGTGAGTGAGAGTTGCTCTTAAAAAAGTGTGACAACTTCTACAACCTCTTGTACTTTTTTCAGTGTATTTTCACCTCTTTAACTCTTATTTCCAACACTATCTCACACATCAAACTTGCAAACAGGGCATGAGATGTATTTATGTAACATTATTGTACAGGTAGCACAATGAAATCATAATCAGTGTGTGTTTTATACTTCACAGGTGGGTTCTTTCTGCTTGTCTTGATGCTTTAAAGTCAGCAGGAGGCGCCACAGTCAATGATGCGAGTGTCGCAGTATATCCTGTCCCCCCCCTATCTTTGGCCAGTCCTTTACTTGGTTAACTTCAGGTTCCCAATCTTATTTTTGTATAAACAAGAGAATAAAAAGAAGAATTTGTCTTGTTGGGTGGAGACAAAGAGGAAAGGGCTTCAGATTTGTTCTCGAAAGTTGTCACTCAGAAAGACGATGTTGTCTGAAAAAGGGAAACAAATCAGTTTTCTAAACAAATCCGACATTAGAAGAATTTCCCTAAAAATGTAAAATTGTCTGCAGCCTTCATGTTGAACTGACGCCAGTTAATTCAGACTTTTAAACTCACATTTACATTTCTAAAATTTGAACTTATAAGATCTGACTTTTATTAAACAGTTACTTCCGACATCAAGTGTTAAATTACATAATTTTAACATAAAGAATTAATCCAAATCATGCAAACACTTTCTGCAGATTTCCAGAGTGCATATTTAACAAGATAACTGATTTATTACCCCACAATTCATTGCAATATGAACGTGATGTTGTATTTTTGGCCCAAAAAAACTAGGTTAATAAGAATGTGTAACCAACCACTATTTACAACGTGATAAATATGTTGAAATAAATGCTTTAACAAACATGTAGAAGACATTTTAATAGAGGTGATCGTAATGCATTTGATTATGCAGCATACATTTTAAAAGCTGTGCAATGTTATATGTAGGCTAGGAAAAATGGCCAACATATTAACCAATATATGGACTTTATATCTGTTTGTTCCATACCTGCGATGATGGTGGTGGCCTGGCGTCTGACTTGGTTCTTGTCCACGTATTCTCCGTAGTCCAGTTTCCCCTCCACCAGGATCCTGGTTCTGAAAGAGAATGTCCCGATCAGTTGCATAAAGGTAAATCTTTTCCGAGGTTAGGGTTGGCAGAAGTATATAGTGATGGCAGATTTTTCTTTTACTATCTTGCACTTGGAAATAACACTTTCCTAAAAAAAGGCAGGGCACCGAAATAAGGGGCTTGTATCTAAAACCTCAAACTGGAATGAAACTCTAACCGGAAATGACCTAAACATATTACTACATTGTATTGCTCAAAAATATGTTATAATGAAAAACAATCCCAACTTTTCAGATATTTGAAAATTAAAACGTAACACGTTTTAGACCTTCAGATCGAGTTAAAAGTAAAACTCCACAGAGAAATCATCCACTTTGGACTAAAGTGTCTACTATATGCACGCTATAAAAATAACTACCTCAAATGAAATTTGATTAGGGCTGTCAAGTTAACGCGTTAATAACGCATTAACTTGAACTGAAACAAAAAAAATTGATGCCACTAATTATTTTAACGTGCGATTAACGCATGTGTATTTGTCCTCGGCCTGCCCCGTAGTTTCAGAGCCCAAAGGCTTGAAGTTGTTGTTAGTTGGATGGTGGGAGATTCTAGCGATAGATATGGATACAAAAAAAGGTGTTTTAAACAGCAAGCCAAGCACACAGCTGATGCTGACAGCCCCGCTCATGCCGCTCGCTTGCGGCAGACCACGCTTGAAACTTTGCCGGGGAGACGCCTGGACAACAACAGCGATAGCTAAATGGGTGGCTACAGCTTAACATTGTGGAGGACGAGGGGCTGCGTTAGATCATTCGGATCGCATCCAACGTGTCGACTGCACATCACAGCGCATTATTTTGACCCTAGGTGGGAACTTCAGTCTCATGCTTTGACTGTTATGAAGACAGAGGAGCGGCATTTCTCCGACAACTGTAAACAGGCTTGTCTGTTGGAGCAACTGGCTCAGTGCAAAGAAATAGACAGGGTTGGGAGAGAGTGGTTCCAGGTTGTTGTATTGAAAATATTCAGGAGAATATTTGTCATTGTTCAGAGGTTGTTGTGTTGAGAATATTCAGGAGAATATTTGTCATTGTTCCAATGATAAATATTCAGGAGAATATTTGTCATTGTTCCAATGATAATAAACAAACATTTGCATAAAGCATATTTGTCCACTCATATGTTGATATTCCTCTAAGGTACATTTAGAATAGATACAAAATGTGCGATTAATCATATTTATAACTAGTTTAGGTTGTTCCAGAGGTAGATCAAATAGCTAAGTGTGTTAGTTCTAACTTGAAGTGTGTTTTGCTCCGCTCACCAGTCCGTCACAGCGGACAGAGCTGCAACTCGTCATTCACGCGAGGCAGTCGCAATTTTTACAGGCTCCCACTACCTGTTAGCATCTGTTAGCATCTAGCTCTCCTGCTTACAAACATTTAGCCATCCCTGCTTATACAAGTAGTAGTTTTAGTTTGTCTGCGGTGGCCTACTCCCACCTGTCGAGTACGGCTGTGCTGAGGTGGTTTTCCCCCGGAGACGTCGCAAAGAGACGGAGCGGCTCCACCTGTTGCTGCCTGCTTTCCACCTGTCTGGTGTCTGCGATCTGCGGAGGCCTGCTCCCACCTGTAGAGTACGGATGTGCTGAGGAGGTTTTTTTACCCCGGAGTCGTCGTGGAGAGACGGAGTGGCTCCATGCTTCGGGCTTCGCCTGCTTCCACCTGGAGTGTGCTGCTGTGCGGAGGAGGATTTTACCACGGCTGGGGCCTGCTTTCCACCTGTCCTGGTTCTGCTGTTGCGGAGGCCTGCTCCCACCTGTCGTGTGCTGCGGTGTCGTGTGCTGCTTGCTGAGGAGACCTTTCACCCCGGGGATACCACGGAGGGACCGGAGCGCTTCCACGCTGCTGCTTTCGCCTGTCCTTTGCTGCTGTGCTAATTTGCTCCAGGAACATCGTGGATACTGTGTGCTGGTCTGGGAAAATGGCCCATATCGCGATTCTGCTGTGCCTGTTAACTGTTTTGGACTATGAGAAGATCTCTAGTCATCCTGAGAAGTCTACTGGATTCAGGTCTGTTCTGCCACCCGCAGTGGGCATCCCCTGCAAAGGTTCGGATGTGTTACACAAACAATTACCGGTTGCCTTGTCACAGACAATCTGCTCGACAAAATATGTTTTATATGTCTTTTTTGTTTTCCTGCGATGATGGTTCTTCAGGACTGCTTCTTAAACTCTAATCAAACTCTCGCAGACTTTTCCGGTGATTCTAAAGTAGATGACAATGTATGTGTGTCGATTAAGAGGAAAAGATGCATGTTTTTTTTGTTGTTATTACTGTCAGGAAATGTTCAACCTAACCCTGGTCCGCCCAGTAGTAGTAGTCAGATCGCTACTCCTGCTGATTTTAAAGCTAGGTCGGGTTTCATCCACTTGAATGTGCGCAGTCTGTTAGGTAAACTAGATTTTGTCCGCATTTGGGCAAGCTCGACTGACGCTGACGTCATTGTTTTATCAGAAACATGGCTAAATAAAACTATTTTGGCCTCTGACATTGCCTTAAATGGTTATAATGTGTATCG